CTGTTGAAAAGAGCATAGAAGAGTGGACATATCGCCTTCGGCGAAAACTCCGCGACAGAATTGAAGCGAGTCTAGCAGGATCAATAGAGGTTCGAAAATGTGGAAATTATTTCATTTCGGTCCTCTTTTCGTACGCATTGTATTACACTTTGCTAGAATTTGCTTAATTCGGTGGAGACAAATCAAAGTACAACTTTGCATGTGGATCTTTGATTATGGAGATCACGACACTAAAGCACCTTCGAGCTTCTGGTTTCGTGGTCTTCTAGGTTTCTATAATTCTAGGTTAAATTCGCATTTTCAACACAATTTCTGCTCTTTTTAACTACCGAATGGGCAATGCCGAAGGGTGCTATCAAAGGGTTCTGATTCTATCAATTTCCAGGAAAGTGACTCAGTGGTTGTACACTTCACTCGATTTGAAAAAATGCCGCTGGATGGCCGGTTACGAGCAGTGTTTTGGGCTAAAAGCCATTCAAAACAAGGTTAGGTCTAATGCCGTGAAGCTTTTTACAAGAATACCCATATTGTCGAGCTATTTTAGTTGAAGTAAAGAAATTCCTTTTTGAAGGCAGTCAAATAAAAAGCCTCGCTACAGATCAACGAATGCGGCATGAGCGATCATTGATCTCGAATTCTGAAATTATTGTTAGCGCTGAACGCGCTGTGTCTATATTACGTCAGGAAACAACAATGCTGTCAGATTTTCAAATCTCTGTTATACAAACGTTGTGTGAGTATTTCTCAGCACTTTTTGTTTGTGACGGTTTTCGAGCAGCGTTATATCTTTTTTTCAGATTGCAAGCTTAACTGCTCCGGGCATGGCAAATGCAACGACGCGACCAAGCAGTGCGAGTGTGATAACTTTTGGATGGGAAACGTGTTCGCATATGCTTTTGCAGGCTTCAGAAACGAGGACTGTGGTGAGGTGATCGTATAATTTGAAAACTGGTTTTCAAGAAGAAATAAAACTCCGAAATTTGGCTAGTTTTTTAAGCTTTCTAAATCTCATACTATTAGAAATTGAAAAAAAAACTCGAAAAATTTTGTGTTTAGCGTGGTCTTCTGTCTACTTCTGGATGATCTCATCTTCACTAATTGTACTACTTGCGGCTTGTTTTCTGTCTAGAAGAAGATCAGCCGTATGGAATCGAGTTAGCAGGAGGCGATTCAGAAAGCGGAAAAGGTACGCTGTCCACGTTTTTCGTCACATCTAGGTGGGCTTGATTTCCTGTAGCCCCATTTTCGAAATGACTTTTCCTCACAACCGATAGGTTTTCCTTTTATTCGATTCCTTTTTTGATCAGCCGCTAATGGTAAAATACCTTTTTTTGGTCTAGGTATAACCCACTTCGAAGCGAATCTGAAGATGTGGAGAAGGAAGCCTATCGCATGAGAAATGGTTAGTTAGTGTACTTCACAATATAATTACACAAATGGTTGTTTTTCCAGAAGACTGAGACTTAATACGAGCACGTAGGTTCTCCTAGCATAATACTCATGCATATATTACCTCAGATATCGTTTTTTCCTTGACTGTTGATCCAAATTGAGAAGAACTTCCCATCTCTGCCACAACTGGCTCCACACAAACTAACTGGTCGAGCTGACCATTTGTTGCAGAGATTTCGTTATTAAATAGTTTTGGGTTGCCTACATAGCGCGACGCTTATTTCTTTTCAAATTCCTCTACTGGCAAGTGATATTACTTGTAAGCTTATACTAATCTCTACTGAGTGGAAAGTACGCAACAATTGCGCCAGGGTCTTACAAAGTCAGCATTTGGAAATAATCTACCATTCGGACGAGTTCCTTAGCATATTCCATTACACGCAACATGGATTACGGCGTAGCGATTACTTCCACTACACCCGAGTTAGCTGATCTGTGGAGCGGGCATGTTCGTGCAACTCGTCCGGCCCAGCCCCTTCCTTTTCCAAAGGGTATTTCTGTTTTAGGCTTCATAACGGTTTTCTTTGTCTTTTTTTTCATTTTTAGTCAATTCGGCATCCACAACTTCATTATCAACCGCTGTAACCCCACAAATTTTATTGGGGTGTTGCTTTAACCTGTCAACGTCTGAAATGAAAAGGACGGTCTCAATGACACTTTTTCACCACATTTTCTTTATGACAAAGACCGTTTCATTGTTTAAATTTTGAAAACTCAACTTATCTATGAATGAACCTGGTTGGGGCTTTCCTTCATCTTTTCTATGTTGTATAAGAATAATGGAGTATCGCTAACATCCAGTGAGTTAATCATTTTAAAGTGCAGCTATCTGTGAATTTCCGACTGAAGAAATATTCCTCTATCAGTTACAAATTTTATTCAATTTGTCCATTTCACATCAAGGTAGTGGGTACGCTGGGTTAGAACGCCTTTCGGTTGGTGACGCCGTATAAGGCCGCATCTTTCGCTGGATGTGCTGCTATCTAGCAAGTTATGGCCTGAATGGCTAGCCAAATGAAAGCCCAGCGAACCCGTTGCATTTGAATGTTTTCACTTGCACTCAATAACCTTGGGAAGGGATTTTTGTATTGCTTCGATCATCCGGCTAATTGGATCACTTTCAGGTCCACGGTTAGCACCTCTTCCGATTCCTCATTCTAGTGAATCACTCGATTCGGAGAGTGACGAACTGCTTGCCATTTCGGGCAGCAACCATTCTCTGCAATTAAGGGAACGCTCATCGGAAAAGAGTACGTAATCGAATAGATCTAGTTGTTGGTTCCTAGCGCTTTACCAATTATATTTTATCGATATCGGGCACAACTGTCATTCACTTTTTTTTGATAACCAATAATTGCTGCTGTGTATAGTCGCTAACATCAATTTAGAGTGCCCATCGCTTTAGATATATATTTTTCACACGTCTACGTGCATGTAACATCCGGGTCTTAATGTGATATATTGGAAATTTGATTCTGTGAATAAATACTATGGTATACTACTTAGGTGATAGAGCACACAGTTTAGTGATCATGCTGCACTAAACCATAAACTTTGTTGCCCTAGTTGCCCTACTATCACAGTGCTCGGCGGAGATACAGCAATGCACAATTCCAAAGCTTTGATGTGCATGTCCTTGAAATTTTTCTATTTTTCCAATCCTTTCAAAATCGCTGAAGGTACGGAAGGTGATAGTTCGGTGCAGCTAAAAAACATCCAAAATTACGAATTTCCAGTAAATTCCCTGAATGACGG